ATTGATAGAAGGCCTGAGATGTCTGCATGCTTCCTGCCTTAACTCCATACTCTCTTTTCTCATATTATAACTAGTGAAATTTTAGAAACATAGTTCTTTCTGGGTTGGCCACACAGATTTTTGTTCTTTCGTCACAAGGCTGTTTCTCAGGTTCCACTCTCTGATGACAAGGGGGCTTCTATGTTCTTGGTAGTGACTTCTACTCAACTTCAGATTTCAGCTCAATTCCAGTCATTACTGCTGTGTTGTGTGAAGGATACTTTGAATATTGGCCTTTCTCAGAGTGCGAGCACCCTGAGAGCACAGGGTGCTCACTCTTATATTTGTGTTTAGAGTAATGCCTGGCATTTCATGGAGCTAAGTACTATTGAACGAATAAACAGTCGCATGCATGAGTGAGTGAGCACCTTTCTAAAACGATAGCTTTATTTTTGCTGTTTTTCCCCCAACCGAAACAGTTGCTCACATTTCACAAGTCTCAAACCACACCACTTCGGGAAGGCTGCATGTGGTGGGCCTGTTAGGTGGTGTGACCTTCATGTTGACAAGCTGGCTTCCTTTGCCTGCTGCCTGAATTTAGGAGGGGGGAGCCTCTTTCTGCTGTCAACACTGGGAAATACTGAGTTTCTAGAATCCAGATCTATTGTTCTGCCCAGGGTCCAGTTAGAGAGAGAGAGAGAGAGAGAGAGAGAGAGAGAGAGAGAGATTCTAAAGCCCAGCCTTCTCTTCCCTCCCACAGCCTGCTACCCTCTCTGAGGGAGATTAATCTTTTCCTGTGGTCGCTGTGGGAAGGTCTTCCCCCCCTGTTCCTACCCTATTCTCACATAGAGGGGCACTTTCCGTCTTCCTCCACCACACCTTTCAGACTTCCGCTTCAGGCCTCTTCTCTTCTTACTGAAAATCTATTTAAAACTTCTTCCATTCTTCTATGTAATACATATTTTTCATTGAAAAGCATTTGGAAAATGAACACACATAGAAGAAGAAAAAAAAAAAAAAACCCAAAAGTAAAGCAACCCAAATTACCTAAGCTTTCACTCACCCCAAACAAGCAGTCTTAATAATTTGATGTATTTTCTTCTCTTTTTATTGGATGCATAGATGTTTTTTCACACTTGCTATTAGATGAAAGGCTGAGAACTAGCAGAGGATAACCTTGAACTTCTGATCCTCTTGCCTCCACCTCCTGAGTGCTGATATTTCAGCCATAAACCACCATACCCAGTTTATGTGGCAGTTGGGGTAGAGACAGGGTCTCCCTGTAGCCACAGCTGGCCTGGAACTTGCTATGTAGACCAGGCTGGCCTTGAACTCACAAAGATCCACCTGCCTCTGCCTCCCAAGTGCTGGGATTAAAGGTGTGCACTACCATGCCCGGCTGGAAGGTGTTTCTTTAAGACAATTACAGTCATGTGGCACATTAAATTTTACTCTATTTCTTTCACTTGTGATGTTACAACAGTTTCTAGTTTTATAAAAATCTCTGTATGACGGGCATGGTGGTACACACCTTTAATCCCAGCATTTAGGAGCAGAAGCATGTGGATCTCTGTGAATTTGAGACCAGCCTGGTCTATATAGAGAGCTCCAGACCAGCTAGGGCTATAGGGAGACCCTGTCTCAAAAACAAAAAAACAAAAAACAAAAAACCCAACAACAACAACAAAACACCTAAAACAAAAACTAAAAAACTCTGTATAACCTATAATTTTTGTTATTGCTGTTAGACCTCAAGTTGACACCTCTGTCTCAGCTTTCTGGATGTGAGGATTATAGGCATGTGCCTCCATTATGTAGACTAGGCTGGCCTCAGACTTGAGGCTGTCCTCCTGCCTTTGCCTTCTGAATACTGGGGTTATAGGCATGTACCCCCATACCTGCCTGTATCACCTGTAATTCTTAATATCTGTTCTCATTTAACCTTTATTTGTAATCTCATTTTTAGGTAGTTTCCAGAATTTATCTATTGAAAATAGCAACATAATGAATACTTTTGTATGTGAATTTCACAATGCCTTTAAAAAAAGACAACTGTAAACTCAGCCAAATACACATGGCTGGAGAGGACACAGATTCTAGAGAAAGCCCTATCTCTGTCATATCTCTAGTCAAATGAAATTTCTTACCATATGCTAGATATGGATCCTTATATTTACAGACAAGCATACTGTACACCACTTATCAAAGAAGCTTCTTTCTGCAACAGATAGACTACTGCAGAATCCCACAACTGGTCAGACACAGAGAATATATGTTTGAGAGATGCCCAGTCCTAGGTGACACATCTACAGTTGAACCTCCACACTAAGTCTCATAGCAGAAAGAGGGGTAGAAAGAAAACTAACGCATCCCTCAACTCTCACCAGAGACACTTCCTTATATAGCAGAGTGTGATGCATATAAAGGGTCATGGCTAGCCAGGTTTTAAGGAATAGGGAACTGCAGAGTGTGTGTCACTGGATAGGACTCCTGTATTGAAACTCATCTACCCACAGCTAGAGAACCATTGTGGAAGAGGGGGCTGAAGGATTGAAAGAGCCAGGGTTGATTCATGAACACAGGGAAGCAGAGGCTTTCGGGCCACTGGAGGCTTGCACTATGAACTTAGGGCGATGGTAGTGTCCAGCACAGGACCTATGCCAACTCAAATAAGGGCCCAGAGGGGAAGAGAGAGGGCAGGCTGGCCCTGGACTGGGGTCTGTTGGAGGCTGATTGCTACTGGGTGAGGGAGAATGTGACTTGATCTCTGGATGGACTGACTGCACTCCAGTGGATGAATTTGCATTGAGAGGCATCTGGGTGTGGATGCTTGACTAGATGGGACTTGGTGTGTGTGCTGGAATGCATGGGGCCCAGTAGGGGTATGTGGGGCATGGATGGGGGAAGGGGCTGAATTTGATTGAGAACTATTGTGTGAAATTGCAAGGGCTCAATGATGGGAGCTATTAATATAAGCACAGCCATCATGTACATTGAGCTGTGGCAGGCTTGCTTATTTACTTTGACCTTTCACCTTGACTCAAGAGTTTGTGTTTTACACACAAGCATTGAATTGTTCTGTCAAGTCAGGAGGAATGTGCTAATAATTTAGGGAAGATGGTTAATTGGTGGAATTCACTACAAGTATTTGACCATTCCTTAACCCTCAGATAAAGATGGTAAAAAAGAGCTGTTGAAGCTAATTGAGCTAAGCTAGAAAATTGAAAAAAAATCTTTCAAAGACAAAATGCTTAAATTTGTAAGACAATTTCAGCGTTTTTCATATTACAATAAGAAATAAAATATTAAAAAATCTATACTAGAAAAGACAGCAGAGATCATTTAGTAGTGGGGGTTGAACTAAAAGCAGGGCATTACTGCTACCTGGACAGATGTGAAGTCCTGGCTCTGTCTGCTTCCACTGGAGTTCTTGCCTTTAAGGGCTGTTATAGGCCCCTCCCACCACCTTTGTGAGAAATTTTTGGGAAAAAAAGCCATCCTTATACATACTGTTTTATTAAAATAAGATTTTATTTTCCCATAAAATGTTAGTAATAAACACAGTTATGCACAGCCTGCAGTGACATTTACAGCTGTGCCTTGGGCAGAGCATGCCCCCATAGCTCCTGGCAGAACCCTCCCCAACCCCAACCCACCGTGGTAGTGGCAGAGTTTCCAGACAGTAGTGGGGGGCAACATCCTATTTTTAACTTTCATTTCCTGTCACATCGCACTCAAGCCATCTTGGTTTTCTCCTTATTGTTTTTTTTTTAAACATATTTATTTCTGTTTTATCTTGTCCATCTTATATGTCAAAATGTTCCCCTTGCACCAGACAGTTCCTTTTTTCAGAAATTTAAACAGTATTTGTTCATCTACTTTCACATCCTCTAGTCCTGGGACATCAGTTCCTGTTCTGGCATCCTCATTTAAGATATTCAGGATATCATCCTGTGAACACATTAGATACAGACACCCACCCACACACAAACACATACACACGCACACACACGCACACACACGCACACACCTCCCTGCCCTGTGCATCCCCACATTTCTTATAAATTACTAAAAATGAACTCTATGGGAACAGGGACTATGTCTGTTTTACTTAGCAGACTAACGTAGCAGACGTTCTTAATAAATATTTGTTGAACAAATTAAATGACTTTAAAGATTTAAGCAATTAACCCCCAGCTTCCATGTCTTGACTCCAGATCTTTTAATTAGCTCCAAAATATCTGCTCAGGTCATTTCTCTATTGAGATGGGCTCCTGCAGAAATGTAAGGCTTAGGATTTTCCCTTGCAGTATAGACGTATAAGTGAAGCTGAAGTGAGGGGGCTTTTTCTTTCACCATATACACTTCCAAGTCTCCATGGGTGACAAACAGACATATGTGTTTAGCTGGATTTTCTGTCCTTGTGCATTTTGACCTCTAATATCTGCATATCCACACTGGGCCTTCTGGGAATCTGTAGTCAGGTGTGCTGTGTCTCCCTGTAAAGTCGTTCATGACGGCCAAGTAAGAGCAGAGAGCATTGCAAAAATCCATGTAAGTTCAACATGGTGCCAGGTACACAGCTGTCAGTCCATTAATGCTTTTGGCAGCTAAAGATGTTTCCTTTGGACATGTCTGTCCAGGCAACCAGACTGTTGGTTTCCAAGTTCTGAAAAAGGATAGGACTTGAGGCCCTGATTAATGACAGAGGCCAAAATGAATACGTACTAATGTGTCAATAAAGGCATTTATTTTTAAAAATATTCTATTTATTATTTTTATGTATATATGTACATTCCTGCATGTAGGTAAGTGCACCTGTGTCATGCAATGCCTGTGGAGGACAGAAGAGGCCGTCGGATGCCCTGGAACTGGAGGTACAGACAGTTGTTAGCTGCCATGTGGGTGCTGGGATTCGAACCCGGGTCTTCTGTAAGAACAGCCAGTGTTCTTAACCACTGAGCCATCTCTCCATCCAGCCCCAATAAAGGCATTTCTTAGCCTTTTTCTTAGGACTGATTGACAAATTCACAATCACATTTCCAGGAAGGGGTACAGATTCTGGGTTTGAGGAAAGGTCTGGGAAGTGGGTAGGATGGTGATCTTGTAAGACCAAACAGGCATAAAGGATGGCTTATTCTGGAAGGGAGTTGTATTGGTTACTTTTCTTGTTGCAGGGACAAAATCCCGACAGAAACAACATAAGGGAGGAGAGGTTTGATTCACATTCCAGAAGTTAAAGTCTATCATGGTAGGGAAGGCGTGGCAGATGCAGTGACTTGGCCTGTGGTGGAGGGAGTTCACAACTACTGCTTTTTTTACATCTTGGTGCAGATGTGAAGCTTGGAGAGCTTGAGGTGGAAGCACAGGTCTCAGCCCAGAGCCAGAAGTGAATATCACCTTTAAGGTCTGCCTCTTAGTGACTCAGTTCCTTCAGGTAGACTCTATCTGCTAAAGGTTCCACAGTTTCCCCAAATAACACCACCAGCTAATGAGCAAGTGTTCAAACACATGAGCCCGAAGGTGGCGGGTGTTTTACATCCTGACCGTGACATGCTTACCCTGGTCCTCATGGGCTTATGGTTACCTTATAATGTGCACTGCATTCAGTCCAGCTTCAAGAGGCCCCAGTCTCAACAGTCCCAACACTATTCAAAAGTTCAAAATCCATTGTCTTTTATGAAACTTAAGGCAAACTCTTAGCTGCGAGCCCTAGAAAATAAAAAGGCTGAATATTTCCAATACACGATGATAAAGAATAAACATTCACATTGTAAAAGGGAGAAATGGGATCCTATCAAAGAAAGATTAGCCCAAAGCCAGACCAAAGTGTTCATCCTGAAGCTTCGTATCTGACATTCTGGATGTAAGCTCCAATGGGCTTGTGGAAGACTGTCTCTATGGTCCTGTCACCTGCAGTACATATGGAATCTCTCTTGGGCAGGCTGTACTTGGTATTCACAATTTTTCTCAGCAGATGCCTCATGTTCCTGATATCTCCAGAATCCTGGGGTCACCACTGTAACTTAGGCTTCATCTTCACAGCTTTGTAATAGCTCACTCAGCAGTCCACTCAGAGAATCTAACTTTGATATACAATTCCTGACTTAAAAAAAAAAACACAAAAAACCCTTTGTGTAAGCCTCGATGCCCTCCTAATTCTTACATTCTGCATGCTTGAAAAGCTATCACCATATGGATGTTGCTGAGTTTTGCTGTCAGTACAAATATAGCCAAGCCCCCTTGGACCAGGGAGGGCTTCAGCAGCCTCTGAGTACCTGTGCAGTTGAGTCTGGAGAAACACTTTCTTAGTCTGCTGTGTTTGAGTAGGACACTCTGTTCATTCTTTCTTCAGGTATTCCTTCCTTTTAGATGAAATTTTCAATTGCATTTTCAGTTTTATATCTTGAAGTCTTTGATGGGTAGGCCCTTGCTCTCAACGCCCCTTTTCCATTGTCCCAGGGCAAGGTCTGATGTTACTCTTTAATGAAGCTCATCTCTTTAGCAATTACAGCTACCTTTGTCCATACCCCACTTTTTTTCCTGAAGCTTTAAGTGCACATATGTTCCTCATCAAACGGCATGTGTGTTTTCTACATCTTCCTGTTCCCACCCCCCTTTTTGTTCTTTGAGTTCTCATTATAAACATGAATAAAAGCAGTGAGTAATGGTCATGCCGCAGCCTAGGTGTTACGTGGTCTTGAAATTTTCTTCTCCAATCAAATTAGTCTATTGCATATGAATTCAGCCTCATTCGAAATTTCAGGACACAGGCAGATTATAACCACTTTCTTTGCTGGAATGTAATGTGAATGCCCCCTAGAGAAGCCCCCAATAGTCACTGTTCTCTGAAATCACTTGAATATGGCCATCATTATTTGCATTGAAACACATGGGGCCTGTGGGGGACATTTACATTCAGGTATAACAGAAGTTGGCATTTCTGCCCAGAACAGTGAAATCTTCGAGTTTCTTTGGAGTGAGACTTGGGGGAATGTAGCTGTCTAGAGGACATTCTCGAAGCTTAATGACCTTGATGTGTCTGGCGTTGCAGGCAGGTTGCTGGGACTCTTCACCTGCAGACAGACATGAGGAATAAAAACACTGAGGGTGGGCAGAACTCTGAATCTTTCACAGAAGACCTGCCTCCCAGGCACTCCTCCCAAGGTCACCCAACTCAAAGCTCCTTCATGTGTGTCCCCCTGTTTAATCACTCTTAGATTAAAACAACTATTCTTTAAGTTAAATGTATTTTTCTTTCTGCATACTTACAGACTGAGCTATCCTGCAATAAAGTCACCAGAAGCAAGTGTTTCTGTCACTAAGAAAATTGCGTTGAGGATCCTTATCTTTTCTATGACTTTTGGGAGAAGAAGGAAAAGGAGGCAAGAAAGTGTCATTGTTTCCACCAAGCAGAAGCTGTGGAAGAGTAAGTTACATCTTACCACATTTGTGATTTGACTAAGGGAAGGTGCTAACCAGATGTAATAGAGCTCAACTCAGAAAATCTCTCTCTCCTACAGTTTCCTGCAGCTCAGGAGTAAGCAGGAGCCTCCACCCGTCATCCCTTTCCTCCTAGGCACAGCCTAAGCCACAGCCTTTTTTCTCAACCATGAATTTGTCAGAAGTTTTCTGTTTCCTCTAGCATTCCAATCTAGAGCCTCTTTCCTACTGTATTTATTCCAGGGAGTGAGGAGTCTTATCTATAGGTAGACTGAGGATCTGGCAGGGATATACTTTAACCACAGAAAACGAGAGTCTTGAGGTTCAACTAATATTAACCCAAACATGAACCAGGAAAGGGGGTGCAACATTTAAGGTGAAACTCAGCTCTAAAGCTTCTTACCACTTTGGGTATCTGCACAGTGGAATAAAGTGTGTTTGCTGCATCTTCCACTGGATTCCTTTTCTATTGAAAAACAACAAACAAAAAATTATCACCCAACTCCTGAGTCACACAGACAAGATCAAAAAGACAGTCACAATCCATAGAAGGGAAAGTAAATGTAAGAGAAGATGCAGAGACGAGAAAGAAGATTCTGGAACAGGGACAGGCAGAGGAAATACTCTTGTTAGTCACTGTTGTAATAGTATTAGTAATTTTTTTTTTTTTTTTGTCTTTTGAGTCAGGGTCTTCCAGTAGCCCCAGCTGGCCTGGAACTCGCTATGTAGACCAGGCTGGCCTCAAATTCACAGAGATCCACCTGCCTCTGCCTCCTGAGTGCTGGGACTAAAGGCATGTGCCACCATGCCCAGCGAGTATTAATAACTTTTAAAGGAAGTTGTTGCTTTATTTTGTTCATATTTTTATTTATTTTCTTTATTGCATTGTTTTCTGCATTGTTTAAATGAACTTAAATATGTTAAGTATATCTCATGAGCTATGAGTTTCCTAAGGTGGCTAAGGGATAACATAATAGTGCTATTGTAAATTAATTTTTCCAATGGTTAAGGGGCTCTTGGAGAAACCAGTAAAGATGCCTGAGGCACCAAAACAAAACAAAGTAGCAATGATGAGAATGATTGGAGAGAAGTATCCTGGGTTAAAGTTTATTCCCCACCACCCAGGGCAGTCCTGCAGTCTCTCTGGGATATAACCTGAGCAGGAACAGAGGGAGGATGGTGATAAAGTGATAAATTTTGACTTCATTAGTTGAGTGGACCACAAAGCAGTCCACTCCAACCTCCCTTAGGAAGGAAAACCTCTTGGAACACTAAAGGAAGTGGAAGTGTGACCGGCCTTCTTGAAGGCAGTAAAAGCAAGTAAATGTAGGGAGATACAACCTGGTTGAGAGACCAAAAGCTAAAGTAAAACTAGAGTTTTGAAAGTCTAAAGTGTTTTATTATTTTTTTCATTAAATGGGTCATTGTGGAAAAAGACTCTGTCCTCTAATGGGCTGTTGTAGTCTGAGCTGCAGTGATTGGTCCTGAGGGTTGTTTTGAAGTTGTCTACTTATTTCTTGTCTGTAAATTGTCTTTTGTTACTTCGGTTTCTTTAAATGTTATTATGATTTTCTTCATAGATTAAAAAACAAATTATATATGTATCCATTCACTTTTGCTCAATGAAGTGGAACTTGGGAAATCTTGAGTTTGGGTCCAGACCTCACTTTTCTGACAGTATTTTGAATCACCTCACAGAAAAGAGGCATCTCTAGAGCCACAAGTCTCCTGATACCATGACTTGAACATCATGTCAAAGTCACACTTCTCTACCCACTGCCTTATGCAAAATAAACCAGATCATTTGAATGGCCATTGTAAACTGTGAAAAGGGAAGAAGTGAATCATGTAACGCTCACATGAGTGTTACTGAGTGTGTCAGAATCAAGTGTTTTACAGGTCATGGACTTCTATATAGAAGTGAATTCACAAAGATGGTGAGGAGGAAACTGCATGTTAAGGTCTGTACATCCCGATCTTCCCTCCCTGTTCCCACGCCACCCAGTCCTGGGGGAGGGGGAATCTCAAGTGAAACAAGAAAACCTTGGAGAGGTGGGTCAAGTTCCAGAAAACATGGTAAAGGACTCACATTAGTGTAGGGGACTGTGTCATACTCTGTATTCTCTCCAAAATGTGGGCAGAAGTTAGGAGTTTCCTGATGGATGTCTACTCTTTTCCTGTCTTCAATGGGGTCTGAAACCAAGTTAAGAGAATCAAAGCCTGCCTGCCGTATCATGCACCATCTCTTCTGGCTCACCACCACACCTGGGTGGTCTACTCAGGGTGACAGACTTTCCCAGTCACTCTATAATAGAAAGTTTTCTGGGAAAGAGAACTTTCAGTGTTAAAACAGAAACTCCTGGGGCTGGAGAGAGGGTTCAGTGGCTAAGAGCACTTACTGCTCTTCCAAAGGACCTGGTTTCAGTTCCCAGCACCCACATGGCAGCGAACACCTGTCCTTAACTCCAGTTACAGGGTATTCATGCCTTCTTCTGACCTCTGTGAGTACCAGGCACACACATGATGCACTTATATACAAGCAGGCAAAATACTCATATACAGGAAATAAAAATACATACAGTCTTTAAAGAAACCTGAGAAAATCCTAGACAAACTGGAATGATTCAGTCACCCTGTCCACACCTCCAGAACAAGGCAGCCAAAGTGGGAGGCAGATTGGGTCAGGAATGTTTCCAGAGTGCTTCTAACAGGGAGGTCTCAAAGTGTACAGTTCACACTTAACTGCTGCTTTGCTTTTTCCTCTTCAACCTACCCCCACTCCCACCATGCACAATATCAGTAGGGAGCAGGGAGACAAATCAGGGCTTTGGGACACAGCATGGGGTACACTGTAGAGACAAAGAACACTTTCTGGAGGAATGTGTCTAGCCCATGGTGACAAGGAAAGAGAGGTCTTGGTACTGACTGAGTGGAGAAGACAGGGTGGTTTGGGGGTTCTGACAGGATAAGTTGAGGAAGGGCTCGGAGGCCATTGTCTTCCACGCAGGAGCAGAATCAGCAGTGCCTAGGACCCATCTCAATAGAAGGGCCACTACAGTGAGGGAAGGATAGGAGTGGGACTGGAGAGGGACCCCAGCCTCAGGAGAAAAGACAAGGTGTTCTCTCACTACTTTGGAGCTAAGAAACACAGCTGACTGTACTTCTTTTGGTGTATATGTATGTGTATGTACATATTCGTGTGTGAACGGCTGTACATATATGTGTGAGTGCAAACGTGTGTGTGTGTATGCATGTGTTTGCATGTGGAGGTCAGAAGTCAGCCCCAAGTATTGTTCCTCAGGCTCTGTCTACCTTGTTTTATGAGACAGGGTCTCTCATTGACTTGGAATTCGTAAACTAGGCTAAGCTGACTGACTAGTGAACCCCAGGGATCCACCTATCTCCCTGTCCCCAGTGCTGGGATTACAAGCATGCGTTACCATACCTGACTTTAAAAAAAAAAAAAAGTGAGCTCTAGGGTTTAAACTCAGGTTCTCATGCCTACATAACGAACACTTTACTGAATGGGTGCTGTCTCTATCCCTTGACTGTGCACTTCCTGAGGGCAAACACCATGACCTCTTAATTTTATGTCTTTAACACCACGATCAGTGTATCGCTTGAGGAATAAAAGGAGAAAATGCATGCATGAAGACAAAAATCACACATTCTTTACCTTTCCTTTTTTCTGTGCGGACAATAAAAGCAACCGTCAGTAGTAGTACAATGACAGTGAACAAGACAGTCAGCAATACGACCGTGAAGACCACCGAGAATTTCGGGTCATTGGCAGCACCTTTAAAGAGAGAATGAATAAAAAGAGCAAGGATGAGGGACAAGGATCTAACTTTGGGAGCACCTTCCACTTTCCTCCCGGCCTGATGGTTTCCCAGAAGCCTCTGGTTCCACAGGATCCCATAGGGATCATGGCTAAAGAAGGCATAGTCGTTCCAACCAGAGGCTCCTGGAAAGAGGAGACAGTCACCTTCACAGAGCTCCCAGGAAAGGATGGGACTTGAGGAACTGTTGCTGATGGGATTCCTGGCAGTGCAGATGAAGGTCATGTCTGTCTCTCCCAATCTCCAGGAGATGGGGAGGAAGGAGCCATCATGAGACTCATTGGCTGCCTGCCCCATGACCCTCCAGCTGTAAGTCACGTTCTCTCCTCCCTGTTCTATGGAGCATGTCAGGTTGGTTATGCAGGTGCCATTCTTATTGTTCTGCAGACCCCTGGTGACTTTGGGCTTTGATAGATACTCTGTGAAAGAGAAAGAAAAAAGGGTGAAAGTTAGGCCTAAACTGCTTAATTTTGGAGTCATCCTTCTATAACTTAGCCCTGAGTCTCTCTGGGGACATCTAGAATGGAAAGGAAGCAACAACTCAGTGCAGAATTTTTGTTCTTACCTGGGAAAGAGAACTATGCAAGCTTTAGGTATGCTTGCCCATAACTGTATAATAAGAATAGCAACAACAACAATAGAAATAATCATGCAATAAAAATGTAGCTGACATTCTTAAGCATAGCTTCATGACAAGCACTGTGCTTAAGTGCATTGAGATGTTAGCTTTTTAAATCTTTACTTACAGGACTCCTGTTCTCCATCCTCTGGTTTCCTTGAAGAATTTTCATCTTTATTATCCAATAATATTGGCGTAACATTTCTCTCTACCTTGTGGTCACTCCTCTATACTTAGGAGATTACCAATGGATTCATTGGCGAGATGGTGAGTCTGGCATTCATTGTCTACCTTTCTTGGGCTTTATTATTAAGCATTTCTGTTCAAATGTGTTTTCCCCTCCCCCAGCTAGATTGTTGGCAGAATATACAATGTCCCATGGAACACAAACCTGGACTAAGGTGCATGGCCTATTTCCTGCAAGCAGGTCTCGAGGCACATCTCCTCGTCTCCCTGCTATTGCAGCTCAGTGAGCTACTTTCTGGTAGCTGGTTGAGAAATTGCTTTGTAAGTTGAACTTCCTTGAATGGCTCTCTCTGGCTCATTCTCTTTGTCTCTGTGCCTCTGTCTCTGTCTCTCTGTCTCCCACTCCCTCCCTCTCTTTCTGTTTCTCTCTCTTGCTTACACTGTTCTTTAAATCCTGAGCCCAAACAATTATCCTACTCTAGCCTCTTGAGTAGCTACAACTATAGGCATGGACTACCACACCTAGATTTAAAAATCGTTCTGATTCTTATCTATTTTTCACTATAGGGCAAGGAATATGATGTTTGCATCCAACCATCTTCTTAAAGTAGGTATCACTTTCCTCATCATTACAGATATGGGAACTAAGACTCAAAGAAATTGAGTAACTTGGCTAAGGCCATGCACCTATTAGGGAAGCCAGCATTTGTCTTAGATCTGTGTGGTAGCCACCTCTTATGTTGACTAACTTCTACACCACACAGCCTCTTACTCTTACTCTCAGAGTTAGCAGGAATCTCAGGGGTTAGTTATATCTATATAATTTGTGCAGGAGTCCCCATCCCACATCCTTGCCATGTGATTTTCCAATCTTTACTTGAACATCTCCTTTATCAGGTCTCACTATATCCACATGATGGTCATTCACCTTTAGACCCGATTCTGCTCACCATAGACATGCAGCACATACTCCTGGGTGAAGGGAGACTGAGAGGAGGTACTGTATATCTCCACACGGTAGACACCCGAGTCATTCTTCTTCAGTTGGCTGAGTTTCAAGGAGTAGTCTCCTTCTGAAAAGGCTATTCTTTCTTTGTTACGATTTTGGGCCACTATAACATTATCTTGTTTCCTGTTCTTAGATGGTTGTATGGTGACAAGAGAGAGTGTCTTGAAGGTCCAGACAATACTGTCAACCTGCTTTACCGTGATATTCAGAGTGAAGGTCACAGATCCATCAATGGCACCAGCCAGCTCCTTCAGTGTTCCAAAGGCCACTGTCACTGTAGACACAGAAAACTATAAAATAAGCCCTACCACAAAACCCTGCTACCATGCCCTTGCCTGAGAAATACCCAAAAGTTCAACAGAAGCTGAACATCATCCATAGGAAAGCGCCGGGATCAGAATCTTCTACCTGCGCATCACCTGCAATCACCCCACCACATTCTTTAGAGGCCTTTGGCTAAGTAGACCAAGCTCTGTAGTAGACCAGAAAGCCTAGCTCCATCCTTGGCAGGCTCCTGTGAGGGGACAGCTAAGGAACCTTCTGTCCCAATCTGTCTTAGGACTTCCAGGTTGTCCCGGAGATAGTTTAGCATGAAGCTGATGACAAGGCCTGTCCAACCTGAGACCAGGGGTCATAAGCATGAATCAGGTCTATAAGAAGAGAGCTCTATGCTTCGAATGATAACAATCGCTTCTAAATTTTAAGATGACTTGTCTCTCTATTTTATGATAAATGAGTGGACTCAAGGTTATCCCCATGAAAAGTTTTCATTCACTTGCATTCTAACATGCTTGCATGGGAAGAAAAGGGTGAGTCTGAGTGTGGGGAACACTTCTTCTGATGGTCACCCCAACTGCTGGGAATAATAATGAGGTTTTGCTTCCACAATAAAAATTTGTTTCACCCCAATCTTAGCTCACCCTATAGAGCATGACTCTGAAGCAATCATCATTGGTTATGTGGTTGCATGTGAAAGAGTGACAGCTGGTGGAATGTCCAGAAGTGGCCAGCAGGGCATTTCCAGTGAGCAGGTGTCAGAAGTGATTACCTATTGAAGTCTGAGAGACAAACTCTGGGGATAGCCTAGAACAAACGCTTTAGACTGGGAACAACAGTTTTAAAGCACTTAGTATGATCTCGTTTAACTACTAAAATTCTTGAAATTTTTTATATCTCCATCTTACTGATCAGGAGCCTGCCTAGCTTGTCCATTTCCCCATTTTGTGGCCAAGCAATAGTTTCCTGCCATTGTGGGTGGGGGTATGGGTTGCAGGGTGGATCATGCTGCATTTGTGCAACCTCGAGGTTGCAACCTGCAGCCAGTGACTGCTTCTCTCCTGCTTCTACCTCTTCTGCTTTCCCTGGGTCTACCCAGCAAGACCAACAAACAGGTGCTTGTCAGTTGTGACCTTTGAAATTAGTTACTTTGCTTTACTTGTGAAAAACTAGAGCAAGAAATAAATGAGGACTCCCTGGCACTGTTATGGCTAACAGCGGAAGGGAAAATTCAAAACTTATGCTCAATATATATTTTAATACATGGACTGATTTAAAAAATGATTTAAGCAAGATTCATTAAACTTATTATTTTATTTTATTTTATTTTTTTGGTCTTTTTGAGACAGGGTCTCCCTGTAGCCCCAGCTGTCCTGGAACTCACTATGTAGACCAGGCTGGCCTTGAACTCACAGAGATCTGCCTGCCTCTGCCTCCCAAGTGCTGGGATTAAAAGCATGCACCACCATGCCTGGCCTCCTAAACTTACTATTTTAAAAGACACTAAAATTAAAACTATTGCATATCTTGCACATCGTGTGTCTTGTGTCTTACTGGCCATGTGAGATTAGCCAAATATCCAGGTTCTATTTATTTCACAGTGTTCTCTCTAATTAGATTTTCTGCTGTTCTAACACTGATATGTCTCCTGACTAGGAAACAAAATCAAATGACTGTATTGCCCTCTCATACTATCAAAAAACACTTTATTAAAGATTTATTTCCTTGGACCCTATTAAAAGTCAAATATCTGGGGCTGGAGAGATGGCTCAGCAGTTAAGAGCACTGACTGCTCTTGCAGAGGACCTGGGTTTGATTCCCAGTGCCCACATGGTGGCTACGAACCATTCTTAACTCCAGTTCCAAGGGAATCCGAAGCCCTCTTCTAACCTCTGCGGCATTGCACTCACATACATGCAGGTAATACACTCCTACACATAAAAATAATAAAATATTTAAAAGTCAAATATCCTAGCAAGAGTTCCCAAATAATGGTTGTCATGAATTAAATGTTTGCTCTGTATTGAATATTTACTGTGAAGATTATGGCCGTTACTTAAAGCAATCCTGCAATTTAGGCATTTTGACCTTTTGACATGGGGATCAGCTATCTATAGTCCACAGATGCCTACAATTTGTCTTTCTAAATAAAATTTTTTTACATAGATAGGCCTCTTTTATCTATTGTAAGGAAGGTATATTGTCTATGGTTTGCTTTTGTAATACAAAGTCTGAGTTGAGTAGTTACAACAGAGATCTTATTGATGAAAATCATATTGCCCTAAAAGCCTAAAATAATTTACTATCTGGCTCTTTATAGGAAAAAATTGCTGGCCCCTTCCTGCAAACCTGAAACTGTGGTCTCTTCCTGTAAGTGGAGCTGAGGTCCCCAAATGTGAGGCATGATTCTACTTTCCTCTGATGGTGGACTGATGGTGGAACAGGTTGGAGGATGGTAGACTTTCCAGATTTGGGCAGCAGGTTCAGCCTTCTCAGAGTGGCAGCAGTCCCCACAACCCCTCCCCCTGAGGTCCCAGGTTGTGCATGGCAGCAGCTTTACCTCTGGATTGGGCTCATGCTAGGGACAGGAGGTTTCTGTCATTTTCAGATTCTAGTCTTGGGAGGACTGATTCTCATGAATGGACTTCCCACCTCCCTTGATGGCCAGCTATGGTGACTCCACATGTGGTCCAGGGCACCTAGGCTTTGATGTTGGATCTTTATCATTGTCAGGCACCAAAAGGTTTTCCATCACTTTTCCGTTACTCTTTTGTAGCCCCAGTGTACCATCACCTGTGCCCTACAGAAAATGTAAATCACCTGACTGAATTTCTAGAGATAAAAATCACAATCTTGGAAGTTAAAAAAAAAAAGGAACCTGAGAAGTACATCTTCCATCAAGTTAAAAAAAAAAACTTTGCCAATTTCTAACTTCATCACAAAAGTGAGATTCAAAGCAACAAAAACAAAAACAAAACAAGTAACTTATTCAAGGGTACACAGCTAGTAATGGTTTGAGGATGGACCCGTGTCATTGAGTCTTCCTACTGTGACTCAATTCAAAGTCACTCTGACATTTGTATCATCTCTAGCCCTTCCCCCTAGTCCCCTTGACCTATAGCACTCTGGTGTGGCATCCAAAGACCTAGGGCATCACTGAGTCCCAGTCTCCCCTTCATGTCTATTGGAGGTCTTCAAGTCCAGCCTGCTCTACAGTACCGTAGGGTGAGAAAACTGAATACTGTCAAACATGGACCTGCTTCCTTGGTTATAGAAGTTTGAGATACTTACGATTTTCTTGCTAAGTTAACCTTCAGAAGTACTGGTTTATCTTCCTGGATAAATATATTTTAGGAGTAATTCCTGTTTTCAAACATTTTCCCCATATAATTTATCAGTCAGTGCACACATACTTTGGATCCCTCTAATTTAAAAAATTGTTTACTTAAGTAATCAGACTTTTCAAAAAGCTCCCCACTTCCTTAATACTAAGGGCAATATGGCTTTTAGACTGCCTTTTTAATCACCTTACAAGGCGTCAATAGTCCCATGATGATATAGACAAAAAACATGTATTCTCATCTTTTGACCAATTGATGCATTCATCTTTTGTTTCAATGAGAGAGAGAGAGAGAGAGAGAGAGAGAGAGAGAGAGAGAGAGA